TTCTGGAATTGAAAAAACACCAATAAAAAAAGTGTATTATTGAACATAATATTTAATTTCAATTAAATTAGCATAGATGCAGGATAATATATGCAATTTAAAATCATAATCTTTGAACATTTATAGTAGTAGAAAAAACTTTTCTATAACATTGGCACAATTAGATAGCACGCGTAGAGATTATAGTATAAGTTATCAGAGTAATAGTAGTTGATTTCCAATATAATATCATTTTATTACCACCTATGAACCTTTTTTTCGTAAGTAGTTAGTATCCGACTGTACTTCCATTCTCTCTGTAACAAAACAATACAGTATAAACCAGAAAAATATTAATATTGTGGTATTAAAGAGTAAAAAAATAATACCTATTTTCAAACTATCTTAAAATAAAAATCATCACACAGATAGTTTCTATTATTTTGATCATGTTGAATGCCTTCACAATTTTGTTTGCAATTGTGCAAAAAATGATATTGTTGTTGATAATCAACCATAGAGATAGTAAAAATACGTCACCATTGATGATCGGTATCTTGTTGAAGTCGGTATTGTGCACATTCTAATGTTAGATGAGTTTTTTCAAATCCTCAAACCAATTAAGAACAAAAAATGCATAAACTTTGCCATTATTAGCACGATGTGTAATAATCACTTTGACTAATGCAAATGAGATATTGTTAGGATTACTGATCTCATTCAATTCTACTATATCACCAACTTGAACTTTAATGTGAAGACTAGTTTTGTCATGTTCTGCTAAAGGATTATCATTGTCATCCACAATAGTATAACTAATATAATTAAAAAACGAGACCTTGTACGTATATAGAGCAGCAAATATTTTAAATTTTTTACAATAGGCCTTGCATAGATCTGTATCAAGATTATTGTTGTCTTTATTAAGGTTCCAACATCCAAAACCTCTCTCCTGAATCTCTTTATTTTTTCAAGGCTTCTGAGTACGAATTTTTATAAAACAGTGATCGTTGCAATAAATCATATCTTTAATACAAAATAAAATT